TAGCATCTATTGAAATTAAAACAAGCAAAAATGCAGTATGTTAAAATGTTAAACAAGTGGTTTGTTATCTTACATCGGCGAAGTTTTAATAAAAATAGTTTAGGAAATACTTTGATACGAGGACTACAATCCGAAGTAATAATCAACAATTTCACAGTTAGTGAATATGAACAAATTTTAACAAGCGTCTTCGCATTCAATTTTATCAATAGATGTGTACTACTTCTATGAACATACGACATTATATTTGACATAAGCTTATCCAAGGTCACAATAAACTGATATTCATAAAGAATTTAAATATCTTTAGTGATAATCAAACCGATCATTATCAGTTAGTGATGTATTGTTAAAACAAAATTAATGGATTAGACTTTATCCGTTCATAACAATAGACTAATTGCCAAAAGACACCACACACACACACCAGTAGACCTTAATATTACATTATCACGCATTATTATTCATACCAACTATGTGCCGAACAGACAGTTCAAAATTTTCTTTCATTAGGGTGATCTGCGGTTGTTAGGTTTGATTTGCCCTGGATTTTACTCAATTGGGATGCCCATGATTTCGATATAGATAATATTTTAATTACTTAAATATTCACACTAGGGTATGTGCATTACACATTGGCGAGAACGCTCCTATCTTCTTGAATATGTGAAGATATGTTTTGGAATATTGGTTACACTTGCGGGAGTTTCAAATACGGTGGTAAATAACGCACAACTTTTATTGAATATTATATATCAGGATAGCAAGCATATGAACTACTTGTCCAGTCGTTCTCTTGTGGCGTGTACTTTTAGTACAGTGACAAGTAAGGTTAATTAAAAAATTTAATGGAACGAAATACCTCACGGCTAATTTTGGTCCTATTTTGAAGAAAAATATAATACCCTTTGATTAAGGCATGTCGTAGAGTGCCAAAGTGGTGCAGATATTTGAAAACTGAGGTCAAAGGTCAAAAGGGGGGATTTTAAAAAATCCCAATTTTTTGACATTTTGGACAATTTCTCGGTAGTCCATCATGATAACTGAGAAAAATTTCTATGAAATCATGCTCTGGGAATGTTGCACAAATTCAGTTTATCATATTTATGCCAGATTGACAAAGATTAGTGATGTATACCCCCGCACCCAACATGGAAGAAAATGATAAAAATTATCTTTATGTACAGAAGTTATCGACAAAAAATATTTATATTCAATATTTAGCTTTGTAATAATATATGACAACATATAAAGATATTTTTGGGAAAGTTTTGTTAACATGCCATAAAGAACAAAGGAGAAATAAGTACTGTAAAGTTAACACCCGGTCCATGATTCAATGAAAAAATGATGAAATTCATAATTAATTTTTTAAACCCAAAAGAATGTTAGAACTATAAAAAATAGTCTTGATGCATAAATGTCACCATGAACACGATTGTATAAGCATATTTTTATGTTAATAGGTCAATCAATACGAGAGCAATAGCATATTGAAAATGTGTGTCCCCATTTTTATAAAACAACTCAAACAATGGAATAAAGAGCATATTCTTGACCTAAACCGATTTTAAAGCACGATATCTATCAAACAAACATGATTCACAGAGATTATGATAAAAATGAAGATATTTGTTTATTTCAGTAACACTTGACATCAATATGCACGTCCATTTGAAGTGGTAACGGAAAACTAAAACAAAAATGTATCGATTCGATGTCATGTTATACTTTCAAAGTATTCGATAAAGTCTCCAGTTAGTTTACAAGCCCACCAACCACGTCAAGGTCGGAGACCACTGGCAGGTATTTATTTTAATTTTATTTCTAAATTTTAAAAATTCATTTTCTAATTTTTGTTAAAAAAAGAAAGAAAAGCTCCCTTTACACGTCAAGTAAAAAGCCACTAGCAGCAAACACATGAAATATTGGGCATTGAGATTAATACTTTAATCATCATCCTCGTCGTTGCAATCTTCTTGAACAGTCTGATGAGTAAGCTGGTTTCTACAATCATCACTGCCCTGACAACCACAAATGCTTGTGCATGACAAGTTTTGTTTATAGCATACGCACAATTTGCTGCAAATAGTTTTGCCTTTGCATGTGCAAACAAGGTCCTGTAAAAAGTCAGAAGACATTGGCCCTTCAAAATATACTGGAACTATGGAGCTATTCCCCATTGTCCATCCATATTCCAGAGGTGATCTGGGTAGTGGTTTGGAGATATGAGCATTTATCCAGACGTACACTTAAATCTAAAAATGTGTTGTCTGAATGATGCCTCTGAAGGAGGTAGTCTCACTAAGGAAGCATCCTTAGATAGCGCTGACTTCACTCTCAGTTTATTAAGATCAGTATGTACTGATTGAGCCTTGTCTTTGGGTCATATAGATCAGCGATAATTTGTCTTCCCTCTGCAATATATGTTTCAATATCAGAACCAGCTAGATTTGTCAAACTTTGATATCTGAATGGGTGTTGTTTCAACGCCTTATATACTGTCTTTTTGCAAATTCCGAAGAAAGAAGACGTCGTGTCGCATCCCGTTAGAGCGTGATCAGCTGGTAGTGTGCTAGACATCACTGGTCCAATAACATTGCATATGTCGTGTACATGTATTAACCGTCTTGCGTCTTTGGTTGAAGAAACGCATCCTGTCTGGAAGTTCCACAATTCATCAATGTTTGTCATTTGTCGAAAATACTTAATACAAAGAAGTAAAACATCAGTGTCTGATGATTTTATTACAATGCGACTCCTGGAATTACTTTTTATCATCTGTTCATTAGCAAACAGAGACTGTAGAATGATTCTTGTATCTGCCTCTTCCTGTGTACTGAACAACTGAGTACATTCAGTTACAGTTCCGGAACAAAATTGTTTCACAGTGTCTGGGTTTTAACGCAAGTTGATTCATAAACGGAATGTTTTGCACTCGCTGTTGAGCATTGGTTTTTCCCTAATTGAAATGTTTCCAAATTTTTTCTACTCATATAGGCTTTATAACATGACCTATGATACTTTATTTGTTCTCATGATTTTGGTTGAATCAAATTCATCATAAAGGCGGCGATAAACAGTACCCTGTCTCACATCTATTGCGTCTAAAAGATCCTAAAAGAATATTTTTCCTTTTTTCTGTTGCATTCGACAAATTTTCGTCGGCAGAAATTTGGCAAATAACGAATAATTCCCAATTACTCTTGAGTCTACTCATTTTTGGCACTGAGTGAGCAAATTTAACAGGACTCATGTCCATTATTTTCCGGGTTTTTTCGGCGGTGTACCAATGTGACTTAAAATTAGTCTATTCGAAAAACTCAACAAGAAATAAAACACCTTAAAGTCACTAAAACATAAAATCTGTACTAAGTCAAAAATCTAGACACAAACATTGATATAAATCTATATTCTTATACACGAAAATAAAGAAAATACACAGTTTAATTCTTTGTAAAAACACAGCAAATCACAAGTCAGGAGAAAATAGGAAAAGGGAGCGCAACACGACTTATTGGGGTGAAAATTGAATAGTAAAACTGCTATATGATGAGTATTATAAGAAGGCCGTAAAAGTTAATTTGTATGCTCTCTCAAACTTTGATAAATTAAAACTTCTTGCATATTAGTTGTTCCACTATTTTTTTGTGAAAATTGACCACTGGTGATATATATTAGAAATGTAGTATACTTTGACAGACGGTAAGATTGAAAAAAATGTTACATACATTTGAAAATCGTCCAATTCAGTCAATTTATATGTTCATATGATATTAAAGTCTGATGTTAAATAAAAGCTGATACATTACTGTTTCATTTGATAACAACTTTTTGATGATATCTTCATTCGGGAATTTATTATAAGCGTTCCCGTGTTTGAAAATGAAAAAGAAAAAATCGGAAAGTCACACTTTATCGCAATTTTACAAAAAACTGCACCGTCGGAAAACTCTTCGACAGGGCTAAAATGAAAGTATAATGTTTACTCTATCTTCATGTGGATTTTCAGCCGTGAGGTATTTCGGTCCATTAAACTCTTTAAATAAGCGACTTTTTCTTGATTTGTCACTCCACTATTTTTTATAAATGCTATAATTCTACTGTTGTGGGTTCGTTGCTTCATTTCTTTCCCTCTTTTTTTGGTTGAAATCAATTCACTCATTTGATTTTTGACTTGAATAGGAATTTACATTTGTTTTCAGTTCTACATTAAATTTCTTTAAAAAGTTACTCTAAGCATTTCCAAAGATCATAATTTTGATGACATTGCTTTATGAAATCAACTCGGAAGTAAAATTGCATAATATCTGTATCAGGAAATCATGTCATCCGGTTTGCTTCCAACACCAGATGGTATAACCCTACCACATGTCAATGTTATGTAATTCATCATGGAATACTTACTTGCAATGAATAATACGACGAGCACCATTGTTAAAGCAGCAACTGCTTACCCTTCCAGACCACTTGATTCATCAAAGTTTTTGGTGGTGTTTGTGTAGCTCAATCTTTAGTCCCAGTGGACCTGTTTGTCTGCGATGTTTTTTTTTTGTTGGCCATGGTGTGTGGAGCCTTATTCGATAAATAGTTTTCGATGACCACATTGACATCCTTTCCATCTCTTCTTTGGTTGTCTTTAGATATTATTTAGGGTTTTTCCCTATCCACCAAAAGTTCCCCATCCCCCATAACCCCCCCCCCCCCCCCCAAAAAAAAACCCCAAAAAAACAAGAATATAAGCAAAAACAGGTCGCCATACAACAATAAGCGAACAACGCATATACCGTATAATAACCAGCTTTAAAAGACCCCAGATATCAAACTGTGAAATAATAATACTAGTGCTGATAAAGCATGACAATCCTGAATTTGCCCTTTAACATTAACAAAAAATTCTCCTTTGAGTCAAGCAATAATTTAAGGCTAAATCACATGAATTAACAGTGCTATTGTCTTTATATATAATTAATCAGGAAGTTGTAAATATTTATATCATCGTGAACAGTTGGTTCGCACTTGTTTGGTTTGTTGCCGTGTTAAGCTTTGACACAATAACTAATGAAATTCGTATTTTTATTGCATCAGGTGGACAATGTTCAATGCTATTTTTAAACTTCGGAAATTCCATTTTTAATTCTTATATAAAACCGTTTGTGCTATAATATTTTGAACTATATTACATGTGCACGTTTCATCATTAGACATAGATGTGTGGAAGATTTTATAAACCGTGGACCTCAACAAACACATGGATTATAAACTGGAAGTGACTGTAATATTTAGACAATACTGAATTCCGAATTTTGGACTTATAAAGATAATAATTTGTGGTAAGTTATCTGTTGTAACAAAATAATTTTGTTAGTTTGTAAACAGACTACATTTTTAAAATTGGGGTTTGCTCCTTTCTTTTACACCTTATAAGGTTTGAGTGTAATTTTGAAAATACAACTGTTGATATTTGAAATGCTGTTTCGGTGTTTTCTGCTGAGATGAAAAAAAAAGACAACGTTGTATGCTTACGTCAAAATTATGTAATATTGCCGTCTAGTAAATTCTTTTTGCGCATTGTTTTATGTGAATGAAAGGAGATACGGGTGTACGCTATGTGCTCTGTTGATTGGAGGAGATGTGTTCTGTGAATGAAAAGAGATAATGAAATGTGAGATTTACGCCACATCATAGTTTACCTTTAAGGAAAATCGGAATGACGCGTTTTGAGTTCAACCTTTTACAAATCATTTTAACGTTTTAGGAATATAGAATTATCTTTTATTTTCTTTTATTTTGGAAGATTTCGATTTCCGTCAAAAATGAATAATTAGATGTCCCACTAAGATTTTTTGGGAAGGAGTTTTGTTTTTGGAATGGTTTTTAATTACAAATTTCCCCCATCTTAGCAGCAATATACCAACTTCACCTGCATATGGGATATACATTTCCCTACTCATTCGGTATTCACGAGCGTGTAGTTGCTACTCAGGCTTTATAAAACGTCACCAGTGTCTGAGCAAGAAGTTGAGGAACCAGGCTTATGTCAAAATACGGCTCGTCCTTGTTCTAAAATACATGATGGTCTTGAAGTATAGATTCTAGATACTTACGTGGTTTATCCTAATAATTACATGTTAGAGTGTTCTTTTTATTTGTCTTTGTATATTTTTAACCTTTACTGTTTAGTCTTTTTTGGTATATACTTTTGGCGTTGCTAGGTATTTCTACATCCCGACTTTATGTTATTGTGCTATAAAAAAAGAAGATGTGGTATGATTGCCAATGAGACAACTCTCCACAAGAGACCATATGACACAGAAATTAACAGCTATAGGTCACCGTACGGCCTTCAACTATGAGCAAAGCCCATACCGCATAGTCAGCTATAAAAGGCACCAAAACCATAAATGTAAAACAATTAAACGAGAAAACTAACGGCCTAATTAATGTACAAAAAAATGAACGAAAAACAAATATGTAACACAGCAACAAACGACAACCACTGAATTACAGGCTCCTGACTTGGGACAGGCACATAAATAGAGAATGTGGCGGGGTTATGGTCATTTTTGTATTCTTGTCTTTCATTGTTACTATGTACTTTGTCTATAGAGTGTCTATATGCCATTTTGTTTTTCTTTGTTGAAATAGTTATTTGTTTTTATAGTGCTTAAGATTATAACGCAATGTGGACTGCTTTCTCTCATTTTTGACATTTTTACCTATTATTTCTGTTTGCTTTGCTCACATATTGTTGACAATATAATGGAATTCCATATGACTTTCATACAAGTGAGATGTTTAGCTAGCTATAAAACCAGGTTTAAAATGGTTTTTTTATTATTAATTGTTTTTGGCTTTTAACTAGCTGTCAGTAACTGCGAGAACTCTGAAATCGTACTTTCGTGTTAATTTGACATGTTGACACAATTTGTTATGCATTTCTGTTATTCAATGTTTACTTATTTTATGTTATATCTCGTCTTACTATTTTTAATGTGTACCACCTTTGATAGTATATTGTATGACTTCTGTACTGGTACTATGAACAACAAATTTATTTAAAAAAAAATATTTCTGTACACCTAACAACAAAATTATTATATTTAAATTTAACTGTGTACGTTACTTTATTTATCGCCATTTTGTCTAAGGTTAAAGTTGTCTTTTTTACATTAAAACATCTTTTTTATTTATATTGTGTCATAGATCAAACTTATTCGTTCAGTGTATATATATTTGTTTTTGTGTATTGTCATTTTGATCGAGTTAAGCCATTTCAATTGATACTTTATTGTGTGTCTTTTTATGTTGTAATGTTATACCACTGTTTGAGATTAGGGTGAAGGTTGGCGCCTGTTGAAACGTTTAAACCCGCTGCATTTTTATGCACCTGTCCTAAGTCAGGGGCCTGTTGTTCAGTCGTTGTCGCTTATTGGTGTGGTTCATAAGTGTTTCTCGTTTCTCGTTTTTATATAGATTAGACCGTTGGTTTTCCTGTTTCAATTGTTTTACACTAGTCTTTTTGGACTTATCATCGGCTTTATTCTTATATGAATAACACGACGGGTGCCACATGTGAAGCAGAATCTGCTAACCCTTACGGATTCCCTGCGATCACCCCCGGTTTTTTATGGGGTTCGTGTTGCTCAGTCTTTAGTTTTTATGTTGTGTTTTGTATATTGTATATTATTGTTTGTCTTTTGGTTTTTTTTTGCCATGTCGTGTCAGTTTATATTTGACTTATGAGTTTGAACGTCCCTCTGGTATATTTCGCCTCTTTTTTTATGGTGTTTGAAATTGTCATTTTGCCTAACTGGACAGTCGTTGCGGTAAGAGTTGTTTGGTACAACTTGCAGTCAAGTAAATTATGTTCTGTATTTAACTACTGCCGCTTTAAAATCAGTGAATGTTTGATAAACTATGAAAATTAACTGACGACTGTAGGTGATTCAGAGGGGATAGATGAGTTGAAACTTTGAAATAGTACCTATTTTGGGGCAATGATCTAACTAGAAGGACCATACTGGCATTGAAATATTACTAGTCTTACCAGTAAATATACATATTAGTCAAAAACATACTTTCATAGCGGTATAACATGTTACTTTTATTATTCTTCCCTTAGTTTATTTATTTTGTATTTACATTGTATCATAGGTCAAATTTATTTGTTCAGTGTATGTTCACTGGTGTTAATATGTCCTTTGATTGAGTTAAGCTATTTCAGTTGATATTTTATAGTGTGTCTTTCTATGTTGTGATGTTACACTATTGTTTAAGAAAAAGGGTAAAGGTTTGGTACCATTAAAACGTTTAAACCCGCTGAATTTGTTTGCATCTGTCCTAAGTCAGGAATCTGATGTTCAGTAGTTGTCGTTTGTTGATGTGGTCATAAGTGTTTCCCGTTTCTCGTTTTTTATATAGATTAGACCGTTGGTTTTCCCGTTTGAATGGTTTTACACTAGTAATTTTTGGGGCCCTTTATAGCTTGCTGTTCGGTGTGAGCCAAGGCTCCTTGTTGAAGACCGTACTTTGACCTATAATTGTTTACTTTTATAAATTTTGACTTGGATGGAGAGTTGTCTCATTGGCACTCATACCACATCTTCTTATATCTATTTAAAAAAGTATTTGATAATTAAAAATACATGTTTGTTGAAAAAATAACCTCTGCAAAATGGATAGCGTTTTATTGGCTGACTGTTTTTTCTAATATCTCTGATTACTAAGCACAAGAGGGAGGATATAGGTAAAACCTTACCATATACAAAAATATTAACAGACACACCGTCGGTATGGTTCATCTTTTTATATGTAAAATGAATTAATTCAGAGCAATTTGAAGGAGGTACGACACCAACGACAAGTATTTTATTTGTCAGTTGGTCATGCATTTTCATCGAATAAGGCAAGAAAGTATTATTATTAAGGCAAACACTATGCACTGCTTTATTTAACTAATAATAATATAAGAATAATCCCATAATAATATGTAACGGTTAGGGGATAGGCTATAGAAATGTACATACGACTTATTCGTCATACTCAGTTAAAACTCACCTCTACTTTCCTTTGGTATTTGCCAACGAGTATACAAAAACATTTGATGAAGATTACAAACACTTTGTACTGTAATTGTAGGTCGCTTCATTGTATGACTAGGGAGGATCCCCTGACTAAACGACAGTTTCCAAACTCTGTTTATCCTTATTTTACACATGTTCCCGCTTTATCACCTTTATATTTTATTTGCATAAGGCCTGAATATTGTCACTTGGACCCATTCATGCTAAGAGTAAGTTTAGTTGAGTCCGGTTTGTCCATTTTCCCACTTAAGGCGAAGTGAACATCATTGCACGCCTTTAGCGGAATGTGGGTTAAAAAACGTGCGTCGTTAGTTACGCAAGTTATCTCCCTTACTCCAAGAAAGGAAAAATAGGTACACAACCGAGATATGACTTTGTGTGGTTTATCATCAGTCTAAACAAGTATGCCTGTGTATGTCAACATTCCTACACGCCACCAGTCTAATGACTTCAGGGACCTTATGACCCGAAATCAGCATCGGATCAGCATAACTTTGGTTTCACACATTTACCATGGATGACCAGGCTGTGTGGGCCAAATGTTAATTCCGGGTGCATCTGAATATATGGAGATTGCGGTCCGCTACCAGGGCGTCAAAACCTGATAACAATGCAATAATGACTAGAGTAAATCAAATGGGCTGCAGTCGATGCAACCAGTAAAATACATGTACCTGCTATGTGACATGCCTGTCATTAGTTAGGAGCATGTTATCTTTTTGGTGCTATTGCTTTTTGTCTACAATATTTTTTCCGTTTATTGTTTTTCTTATGAATCAGAATGTTGGTTTTCTCTTCGCTCGAATTGTGTGGTATTTTGTGGTTCTGAAGACTTTAATAGCTCAGAATACTGTATGAATTTGATCATGGCTAAAGGTCGTAGTGTGACCAATAATTATTCCAATTATTGTTCTGTGGTGTTTCGTTGATAGTTGGCTCTTTGGCAAACAAATCAGATATCCTTGTCTCTATACCAACTTCTTTCTTATAAGATTGTTGTAAAAAACAAATAGAGAATACATTGTTTTATTCAATCAAAAAAGGGTGCAGGCGTTAATAATAATAAAAAAAAAAACAACAACAAACCCAAGTGAATGTTAAATTAATACTGATCCATTTAGAACAATAAGCTAAAAAATTAAATGTTGTTTTGAATTATATTTCGTCATTTTAAAAGACATACAGCAAAACCAGCACATAAGGAATGTACAGATATTGAATTGGACTTAATTAAAAGGGTAGATATTTTAAATTTGACCTTGGATGATGTAGCTATTCTTTGTATGTCCCTTTTAGTCATATAGCTCTTCGCGTATTCAAGTATGTATTCATCCTTGACATTCAAATTTTCTGAACTTTCCTGATGAAGGCAAATCCAGAAAAAGGGTTTGACTGAACAAAATCAAAAAGTATTATTTTAATTTAGAAAAATACTTTTTATAACATTTTATTTTCTAAACTGTCTATTTATGAAAATAAGTTCACGACTGTAGTTGTAAATGCTCAAAAATAATTATAATAGTTACGGTTTCATTTTTACAAGATATTTGTTTGAAAACATAATGTTCCAAAGAGTATAAATAATTATAATAGTAACGGTTTTATTTTTACAAGATATTTGTTTGAAAACATAATGTTCCAAAGAGTATAAACTGACAAATAACATGTACTTTAAGCTTAAAAACAAAATTAATCGTAAAGCATATTAAAAAGAATAGTTTTAATGTCATGAGCGTTACCTGTGACAAGTATTAAGATCGTTCTTTTTCAAATTAAATTCACATTTTGAATAAGACCTGGACTATTAAGATCAAAGCTACAATCATGAGATACGGTGTTGATACATTACATTATTCTTTATCATTCTTTTTTGTATATAGTGTTAATAAGATTTATATGACATGATTAAAATCTATTTATGTCTTTGTGAATTTCCAAGACTATTTTGACGCTACCCATCCCAGTTTTGCAACGGTTTTTCCAATGTATATTTAGTCAAATTGCAATTTTGTTGATTTTTAAATGAGGAGAATTAAATTTGAATATTATCAAATAATAGTAAGTTTTTTGCTTTATATTGTTTATATTGTCAATTCTGAATACATGTTCTGCATATCCTGATTGACAGTTTCAACTCGTTAAAAACCCGAAAACAATTAAATGGAAGCGCATATTATTGTTTATAGATATAGGAAGATGTGGTATGAGTGCCAATGAGACAACTCTCCATCCAAGTTACAATTTATAAAAGTACATCATTATAGGTCAAGGTACGGCCTTCAACACGGAGCATTGGCTCACACCGAACAGCAAGCTATAAAGGGCCCCAAAAAATTACTAGTGTTAAACCATTCAAACGGAAAAACCAACGGTCTAATCTATATAAAAACGAGAAACGAGAAACACGTATGAACTACATAAACAGGCGACAACTACTGTACATCAGATTCCTGACTTAGGACAGGTGCAAACATTTGCAGCGGGATTACACGTTTTAATGGTACCAAACCTTCTCCCTTTTCTGAAACAATAGTATAACATCACAACATAGAAAAACACACTATAAAATATCAATTGGAAGGCTTAACTCAATCAAAAAACGTAAATTAACACACAATGAACGAATAAATTATAAGCACATTTTGTGCTGATTCATCTAGACATAACTTAAAATTGTGTTTAGATCCAACTTGCAGTCAAATCATTTCTGTTCATATACTTTTCAAATATGTAAACGGTTAACTGTTACCTTCTTCCATGAAGTTTATTTGTGGTAAAATACATAACTATGCAGAAGACTATTGATTAAATTACAAAGGGATAAAATAATTCTATACAGGCATCGTGTGAAACAATTTCTCATATACTATTAAACCCGAGAAAGCGAAAAAGAATGGATTGTTGTTCGAATTGAGCAGGTAGAGGATAAAAAGTTCAAAAACATACTTCGCCTCAAAGTCTGTCACTTTCTTTTTTAAAGGTATTCTACAATTAAACAGGAAAGAAATGGTGTGTTAAATCATGACACCGGATTCCTCTTTTTCGAACTTGACGGATTGCAAGGGAAATTGACAACTATTTTTTTTGCGGTTTAAGTCAAATCTTGTTACTTAGAAAAGATAATTAGAAATTGACAAAACTATTTAAGAAAAAAGTCATCTTCCTTGTTTTGTTCATATGCGCAATATATCTTAAATTTTGTCGGGTTAAAAGTTGAACTGAAATCATTTTGTCTTGTAATATTTTTGCAAAATTATTGTTTTATAAGGTACAAAATAATGTTGTTCCTTGTTCGTGTTGAAATCAAACTTAGCTGTACTTTGCAAAATCTTTTTGAATTTTGGGTCTTCAATTCATTTCAACTTCGGATTTTATTCGGCCCTTTACCCTCTTTTTATTCGAGCGTCGCTAGTTAGTTTTTTTGTAGACGAAACGCGCGTCTGGTATACCAAATTTTAAGACTGGTATCTTTGATGAGGTTGTTTATCACATTAAACTGCTTTTTTGCAGAAGTTAACATCTAAACAGTTTGAATTAGAAATAGTTAAAATACAATGTGTTTTCTATTTCTATATATGTACAAATTATTGGTTTTCCTCTTAAGCTTGGGTTTACTAATGTAGAAGCTTTGAAATTTAAGAAAGACTTAATATGTGTAAACAACTACTATGCTTGTGATGTTCGTGATTGTTTTATTTTTGGACGACTACAGTCGACATTGTAGTGGTTCTGAATTGTTTATGTTTTGTAATGGTTATAGCATCCCGATTGGCCCATGTTTTTAATTTTGAGAGCAATAATGTCAGCATTCGATTACCTATTTGTAAAAGAATAATTACAAGTTAATGTATTTAATATTTCTTTTATTAACGTTAACATACCAAATGTTAACCATTATGTTCTTTGGGCCATATTTTTAACCAAAATAAGAAAATCTGCTCTTTTTTTTCAAATTACTATGTCATTATTTTCTTGTTTTTGCAGATTTATCTGGTATGATGTATCCATTCATACAGCTGATGTACGTTTTTGAGCTCTCTGTGACACTTTTGGCAGTTGCAAGACAAACACCAAGTGTAGGATTATACAATCTAGCCTTCCAAAGAAGATCGAAAAATGAAACAAAATCGTACAATTTTGTGTGGAGGCCAATTTCACAAATAGCCCCCTTTCAATTAACCATGCACCAATTATTTAGTGTGCCGACTGGTGGAATGTTGAAAGCAGAATTATCATTAACGACTAGAAGCAAGACAAAGAAATTTAAGGCTGCCGCTTGTATAACTCTTATACGCACAAATCAGAAAACCTGTCAGAGAATATTTGGTGTACCAGGAAAAAGAAAACAGTTCGTCAGTCAGTTAATTCTTCATGAGGTATTTGAAGTCCAGAAAGATGATAAACTTGAAGTGTCAATTCCACGTGGAAAAAAATATATCTATCAAGTCGGGGAGTACAATCGCCTTCGATTATACTATTTATAGAATTGCTAGAAGATTGTTAATATTTTGTTGAATACAGTGAATGACAGAAATTTCAGACAGTTTACAATATTGTCATATAATTTTGAAACAACTTCAGTTTTTAAGTTACATAACTACAATTTATATAATGCCATTTCTCGTTTAAGTAATTCCTCGTCGAAATCTTGGTGTCATAAAATTATATTTGGAAAAAGCAGTATATGCATTGAATGTGTGCAAAGTATTAAAGAAGATCTGTCATATTTGGTGGGAAGAAAAACCTCATAAAATCCCTAAACTGCTTGCTAGTATTTCTAGATTTGATAGAAAAACAATGGATATGGGGTATCCATCCATGACACAAAATCAGTAAATGCACAACAACAAAAAAACATACAAAAAGCAAAGGAACAGCGCTTTTATTGCTGTTCTTCATCTCAAAGTCACAGTGAGACCTCAACACGGAGCAAAAAAACTCTTACCTCACTGCAAGTTTTATACGGCCCCTAGCACCGGCTTTAGCGGAAATCTTTGCAAAAATAATTTGGATAGACTTTGTAAGATGTAACACCACCCAATCGGGCCCAAAATAGTTCCTACGCACAGGTGTACATCTTAAACTATGTAGCATATATTTTAGTAATTAAAAAATCAAATGAAAGGTGAAGGACTGGTGATCCTTGTAGAGCACACAATTTACTGATAATTTTGAATATTACAAAAATGTATGATTGAATTATATAATTGAGGGCAAATATAGCCTGTTTCTCAAGCTGTGGTCACACCTTACCGGATAGCTCGAACGGACGCCGAACGGATGAAAAAAAGTTTTCCGTTGACAAATTTTTTATCTGTTGGGGGTCCTGTTGTACTGACAAAATAAAACGGACGGGTAACGAATGCCTAACGGACACACACAGGATATGCAACGTACGAGAAACGGAAACGTACCGGACAGAACGGATGTCGAACGTACATCCAACGGACGAGTACCGCATAAAACCGAATTGAAAAAAAGTTATCTGTTCGAATTCGGCGTCCGTACGCGCTATCCGGTAAGGTGTGACCGGGGCTTCAGATATGAAATGCCTGGTTTGGTGTATCCAAAATTCCGGTAACCAGTGCAGAACGGTCTGACTATTCCTGGAGTGTAACCGTAACCCTTTCTGTGCTTTATAACTTCATAACTTCAAAGCATCTTAACACCAATATGTACACATGATCAGGTTGTAAAATAACGTGTGAATAATGTTGTCACACAACAGATAGGAAAGCGAATGCAGAGATAAACAATTACGTACGTAAGATTTCGTAGATGGTAATATTCTAATGTCTTTTTTTATATTACCGTTTTTTCATATTTCCATCTTACGTCAAATTCTAAATCTTTACTATAACCGGCTGTTTTGAAATTATATTTGGTACAACATACGTGTTTGTTATATTCGAAACATGAAGATCGGCCCCCAGTATACTACTCGCTCCTTTTATATGAAAAAAAATCAAACTTAAATCGTTTAAGTGAAGAAGTCGAACGATGTATAAAAATATCATGTTTATTCAAGTTTGCGAACGCTACAATTTTGTAGACAATTAACATTTGTATATTTTATAAGCTGGACTAGTTGTCTTCGGGTCGAATTGACTTGTACCTTCAAGTTAACCGGTACAAAATGGCATCTTTCACTTGATATGTGTTCATCAGTTTAATAATTCTATAATTTTTTAGAGTTTCATGATCTTAACCTCGTGAATGATTTGAGTTGTTAGAAATCTGACACTTGTTTAACAACCATACAAAGCGATGTAGAATTAAGTACTGTTGAACATTAAACGATAAGATGTAAACGTTGTTTTTATTTAAGTGACCTTTCATGCCGTCTTTTGAGATTCGTAGTCCAGACATGGTCCCTGAAATAAACCCCCTCTTTAAGTATATGTTGCAGCCTCCGTCTCACGATATCTGGTGCCATTATTTACAGCAACATAATTTTACATGTTAAACGCAATTTTTTAGGAGCACATTAAATTCTCTTTGGGTAATATTTTTGGTGGGTAAGTGTTGATCAATAGTTTCCAAGGAGACTTAGTTTTCTTACCTGCCAAAATCAACATTAAATTTGAGGATGTTTATCACTTTGTAAATATGTTTGATGAAATGTAAACAGATTTCAACAGGGAACAACTATAACAGTACATGATTAATTGATTGGTTGATATTGGTGTTTAACGCAACTGTCAGCACACTTTGCTATGTCATTACGGCAAGGATTTAGTGGTGGAATAAGCAGGAGTAGGAAAATATCCACCTACCTTTTATAAGAAAACTGGTTATCCTAGTCAATTCCAGACAAAGCTGTTTATTTGAAGTTGAAATGCTAGGTGACAAATAGTATTAAATTTCATTCAAATGAGTAGTATTCGGAAACAAATATAACTAGTTTGATAGGTTATTGTTAAGATTTGTATGAACATATTATTTGTGGAAGAAAACAATTATGTGGTCAATTTTATTCAGATTAGGCCAGGTTTTAGTAGTCAGTTTAACTGTCCAATGCTTTGTTACATAGAAATTTAAGTTTAAAAAAGTTTTAAAGTTTAAAGCAACTTCATTCCGTCCTAAGAGCTATCAAGCTCTTTGATTTTTATACCCTGGCTCCATATACTACCGTAAGTATATCATTACATATTACATACCTATGTGTTGTAATATTATATATTTAAATGTTGTTATTATATAACGAATTTCGAATGATATGCTTGAAATGTTTTACTCTCGTTTATATGTTTACATGTTTCCCCTATACTGACTTCATTAGTAGGGGTGTGCTACTTACACAAACACAAGTCCAACAGAGTTACGAGGAAAAACGACTGAAATCGACAATACATACGTACGTTTTACGGTAACCCTCACGAATTGTTTGACTTGAAGTGTCTGTAAACTATCTAGCGATGTATTTTCCAGGTATTGATCCGTAAGATACCAGAATAGTCATCTAATTTTGTCGATTTTGTCCTATTCAAGATTTTGTCCTATTCAAGATTTTATTATTTGACCAAGTGTGAATTCGCATGGTGGGTGATGCATGCAAAGCGGGAGAAGGTTACTCTGTTAACACACTAGGGATCGTTCCTTTTGGAGTTCATTCGTTTTTCTCAGTTGATTCTTGTTACATTGATTTGTCTCGTCTGTATCTCTCATATATTATGCCTTTGAAGATGAACTCTCTTTAGGATAACGAGAGACAAATCAATTTTAATTATGTTTCATTGTAGACTGGTTCCCTGTCCTTTATCTGTTTAGCTCTGACTCAAATACTCATACACAATGTATGTTGCAAGGGAGAGAACCAGTTACCCATCAAAAATAGATTATTTTGAGATTATTTTGATTATACGTCCGATACTTACGTAAATAGATATAGGAAGATGTGGTATGAGTGCCAATGAGACAACTCTTCATCCAAGTCAAAATTTATAAAAGTAAACCATTATAGGTCAAAGTACGGTCTTCAACACGGTGCCTTGGCTCACACCGAACAGCAAGCTATAAAGGGCCCCAAAAATTACTAGTGTAAAACCATTCAAACGGGAAAACCAACGGTATAAAGTATAAATTACGTTGAAAGTACGAATGTCTCTGAATTATGGTTGGTAGAGTGTTAGACGGTTATCTGGTCTTTTATTAATGTGAGCTTCTCGACAAAATTAGTTGTTTGTTAGCCCAATTAACAGTTACTGTACCTTACATTTCAAAAATGTTATTAGGAATTTCTTGATGGAATTAACCAGCTAAATGTGTCAAATTATGACTTCATAAATCAGTTGATATACACATACTTTCAACAGTATTACGGTAGTAATGATTACTAATGTGGACTTTCTGTTCTTGAAAACAATGTTTTTCACGAAAATGATACAATTTATTTAACACAAAACAAAGAAAATTTGTTGACATTTACAAGGAAACAAAATAAATACACAATTGAGGTTTCGAAATAAAATGTTTGTTCCTGATTGATATTAAAAAATTTGTGCTAAATTGGAAAAAAATTTTTTTTTACCAAGAAATAAAGCGACGAACCCTCAAAAACAAAACCGAGAGCATCTGCACTGTGCATATATATTGCACCATTGTTTTAAGAAAGTGCGTTTGTTTAGCTTTAAGTAAAAAAAGTACATTTATTTCATTTACTCTCAACAAGAAAAATGGTGCAACATCTCCATTAATTATTTTGGATTTCAATTTCTTATTGCATGAAAAGGTCCAAGAGGAAATGTAAATCTTGAAACGACTGCGTCGATAAATTTGATGAAGTTTAATGGAGTTAGACAGCGCTTCTATATATATGTTCTGTTATGTCTGGTTATTAAGAAAAAGAACATACATTTTGACAAAAATATTTTTCAAAACTAGACTGTTTATGATATATATAAATGAAGAGATGTGGTCTTATTAAAAATGATACAATAGAGACATTTTTTGGGTTCATATGACTGTTGCATTATCTTACCTTATGCTTAATTATTACAAACTTATCAATTTATTGTTGATTCTTAATGGTTAGTTTAGTCAAAACTTATGAAAAGCTACTAAACGTAATAGCTACTGTTGTTGAGAGCAAAATTGATCACGCGACACAGCTGTGGTTTATATGATGACATCTAAACAACTGATCCAACTGATTTATTCATCGGTTTACATATTATTTATTTTTTCTAAGATACTATTGTATATCTAATAATTGATAATTTAAAACTTAGGATGTAAGTAGATTACAGTCGACACTGGTTTTTTTTTTGAAGTATAATCTGCTGTTAAAACAATAGAATGATATGGACAAATATTAATTAACCATTCTTATGATAAAATACAATCTTGTGTCCTCCGTAGACGGTTACAGGCGAGTAGTTATTCACATTAAAGACGTTTTCCTGATTTTGAGAAACTATTAAATTGATGGACAAAATCAAATATGTTATGAAAAATAATTACGCATATTTATGTAAGGTTTGCGTGTTCCATTTCCCAAGTCATCACTAAAAGGGGCATAAACTGTCAAATTTATGTTCACCGATTTGTCTCAAATTCTCATATTTGATTTATAACATACTAAAACGTATATTCAAATTACAATAAGTCTGAAATGAACAATTAACAATGCATTGACTCGATAATGTTTTTTGACAAAATTGAACCAAACTGGCTGCTAAAAGCGAATTATTTCACTATTTCAGATTCATTAATGATTGATATCTCGTAGCTAATGGCCTTTGGATCTAAATCATATTTTCTTTGAGGGTATAAGCTTGCGAAAAGCTATTAGACATATTATGCATGCTCTTGTTCATATCAAAATTGATAATGTAACATGAGTTTGTAGCATAAGTTGACATCTAAACAACAGATTCTTCCTTCGTAGACCATGCATTTTTTTTAATAAAAAGGGCTCTTATCAGAGACAATGATATGTCTTTGATTGAAGTAACATTATTGTTCTTTAAAATATTGTACTATTTGTATCTCTTCTGATAAGCTAGGGTTTAATAATTCTAAGGTTTGTAGTTTGAAAGATGAATTATGATTAGAACAATAGTTGTCTTGTGGTTGGGACTTTTTGTTGTTCTCGCGTGATATTGCTCAACCAATCAATTATCAGTTTATCGTGTATTTCCACTTTTCATTGTCGTTACGCATTTCTAGGAAAAATACTGACGTAACATTATTGAACTATTGAAAAAAAAACCATTTTGTTGTTTCATCAGTGTGTATGAATTACTTAAGAGATACATACGTCTTCCTTTTATCAGGTAATACACTTCTTAATTACTTATTCATAATGACTTTAAATTTTTCATCAATATCTTATTTGAAATGATTCAAATCCTCGAAGAATAAAACATTATAGTTCGTGGAAAAGTTTAACTATCTATTGTGGTGTTAAATTACCATTCTGCCGGAGTTACGATATCATTTCTGTTCGGCTATTTTCAATTTGTAATGAATTAGACGTTCGCTTATATATAAATTACAAGAAAAGACGAGTTTTTATATTGATGTAAAGTGAGCGGCCGAATCGTCTTCATTCGTTTTTCGATATTCAATAATCAATCGACCGCTAGCTGTCTGTTTGATATTCAAAGCGTTTTTTCTTAGTTAATAGTAATATAAATACGAATATTCTATAATATAAAAAAATAATAGTCATAGTAATAAAGAGTAAACAGCAAAACAAAAAACCTTTTTATGATTTATAGATTTTTATCAATAAAATGCAATCTTAGATGTACTTTTAATACATGAAATTTCCAATTTGACACTTTAGTGACATGTGAAAATATAGATAGATATTACTATGGAAAACAAAAAAAGTACATTTTCGAAACTTTTGTCTGAGATATGTACCGAGGACTCAAAGTACCAGTTTGATATTCCAAATATATTTCAAAAGTCTACCGGAGACCGCATAAATGACTGCGAGACCTTTCTGGTCTTTCAACGTCAGTAACATTTAGCGAACAATCGGATTAGTTATAGATACAGATATAGAAATATTTCATCTTCGATGTGTAAAAAAGGACTTAAAAATCGTCTAAAATTCAGGTAAAAGTATTCAGGACATTGCCTTGATCATCATGATCACCATGATCATTTAATCTTCATAAAAATTATGCATAGAGTTAGCTAACATAAAGGTACAGATAACATCAAGATTGAGAGTTCAAGAAGGTCTATCTAACGCACTGGGCATCCTTTCCATTGATTTCGGTTGTTTTTTTTATTTAGAAAACTGAATTTTTTAGTCCCCCGTACATATCGAAAATGAAAATGTTCAGTAATATCC